ATCATGGGCTTCCTTGTTGCTTGTGTCTGCATCATTGATTTCTTCTTTCCAACAAATCACTACAATTTCAGGGCCCTGCTGGTTGGCACACACTCCCTCTCACTATATTCACAGCAATAACCACAACCACAGGAAGGGTCTGCTATAGGCCAAGCCTCACACTGGGGGTAGGGGTCTGGCCTTCTCCCAAGAATGCACCAGAAACCTTCAGCATTGTTACGGTGTCCATGGGTCTGACGGAAAAGGATCTTAGTGCTAGTGGTAGAGGCGATGAAGAAGCTGTCTGGTTTTGGAAAAGTATTTTTTAATAGACAAGTGAATAAAGATATGGAGAGATGGTGGAAAGCTATTTTATGGTGGAAGAGCAGAAATGGTTTTGGGACACATTATATTTTTTCCTCTTGTTTGGCTGAAAGTACACATGCCAGCAGTTTCTCTAGAAATCACTCACCCATTATGACTACGTTTTTTCCGTGACTACCTTTTTCGTGCTTGCAGCTTGAAAAATATTTTTGCATCTCAATATCCTTTATGATGGGAAAAAATAATTTCTATGTGATGGAGCTATTTCTTTTTTTAATATACCAAGCATGAATTTAAGCTTCTCTGGTCCGACTGAGACTTTGCGACTTTTCCTTTTACTACGTAAGTCACTCTTCAAGCTCCCGACTCCATGAGTATTCTGATGAATGCACTATTTTTGTGTTGTCATTTTATTTTCCGGGCAACAAGCTGCATTGCCAAGGAAACAGCATGCTGTGAGAAGAGTCCTCAGGGGCAGGACAAGGAAACCCTCCTGTTCTTAAATTGTGATATTTCAAAATGTCCCCAGAGATCAAACAGGGCAGCAGCGTTGCTGGGAACATATGCTTTAGCTAATACACAAAGCTGTCTGTTTCTTTGCCTTCTTTTTTGTTGTTGTTCTTTCTTACTTCTGGATTTCCACAAGTTCCAAGTATTGCATTCAGTTCTTTTTTTCATTTGATCCATTTCAATGCTGATGACTTGCCTTGTGTTCAAGGGCAGGCAGAAGAACTGGGAGGTTTTTTTAATGGAAAAAATAGCTCTGACCTCTTCAGTGGAAAAGTGTATGAAGATCTGTGAGAGCTAACAGGACGTTTTCATCACCGGGGCCGAGGATCATTGGACCAGTACTTCTGTCCCACCATTTGAGGATGGCTCTGGCTGATTTGAACACTGAGTGGTAGTCACCCTGTTGAAGCTCATGGACTGGACAAGTACCAATGGCTTGTCAGGTAGAGGAGGTGCGGCTGTCCTGGCCCCTATGGAAAGTACAAATTCCTCTGATCAGACAGCTCCTTCATCTACCTTATGGTTGTCTAAAATGTCCCCTGTAGATGTTTACTGATTTCCTAAGGAACTGCCCTGATACGTAAGCATCCCTGTGGCAGTTGCTATCACTGGATGGGTCTGCGTCTGCAGGACCATGTTCCCAGGCTGTGTCTTTCCTCCCAGGTGCCCTGGTGGGGAATGATAATCTGTTCTCAGGGGCCAAAGCCATCAGTTGGCCTGGTAGAGGCGGGTCTTAGGGTGGTCTGGTGAATAAACTTTGGCTAAGTTCCGGGGCTTAGCAGCATGCAACAGGTTCCCTGCTTCACTTCGCAGCCCCATAACCCGTTATCGGCACTGGAGCCAGGAGGGTCTTTCTAAAACACAAAACCAATCATGTCCTTGCTCAGTTGAAAATCTTTGATGGCTTCTGATTACCGCGGGAAGAATGCTTTCCCTTTCCACGCTTACGCCCAGCTTGTCCCACAGCTCTGCTCTTTAATCACACTCAGCCCCTGAGGCTTCTCTGGATGTCAGCTCATGCCAGCGTGTCCCCAGCTCAGGGCCTTGCTCCCCCCACATCTGGCTTCCTTGGTTGGGGAATGTGTCAGCTCAGAGGTTACGCTGTTAGCCATGCCATCCAGGACCCCTACAGTGAACACTCACTACCACCCAAAGAGTTTTCCATCCATTAGCTCCTCTTCTTTGCTTCATAGCATTTACCACTATCCAATTTTTCCTGCTACAATCATGCTGCAGTCAACTTTGTTGACTGAAGATTTCCTGAAATATGTGTGCCTAATTATAATGGCTGCTGCTTAAGAACTGGAATTGCTGTGCAAAAACACGCCTATTGAAAATTCGGTAAACTACATTTTACCAATGGCTCTCTCTGCAACAGTAGACAGAGAGCCATTCACCCCAGATGGACCGCGACACTGACCATCACAGTCTCGAAAAGCTCTGCTGCTGTGACGGTCAACACGTGACATTAATGCCTTTAATCAGCATTTCAAAAGTTACTACTTCAATTAAGCAGATTATGTATGTTTATTGACCAGTATTTTCTTCCTTAAATTGTCTTCGTAAAAGTTTACTTTTCCTATTGTATCTGTACCTGCATATAAAATTAATAACTTTGAAAAATGATATGTGTTTCAAGTATTTTCTCCCATGTTATTTGTATTTTGTTTTTGAGTGTTTTGTTTTACAGGATATTTTATTTTTATTTAATCAAAATGGTGAATTTTTTCCCCCAAGTCTTCTGGTGTTCTCATTTTACTTGGGAAGTCTTTCCTTACACCACGTGATTTCAAATATTCTGCCATAGTTTCTTCAAGTATTGTATTGATCGTTCCTTCATGCTTAGTTTTCAAATGATCTAAAATTTTGCTATGTAGATCTGCTGTATTTTAATCTTTTTTCCTAAGAGCTCTGTGTGTTCTTTTTAGAAATCTTTTCAGCCTTTGTTTCTTATTCCGATAGAGAATGGATTCACTTGGTTCAGTAATCAAACAAATATAATGATGCACACACTAAGTCTTGCTCCCTCCTAATCCCTTTCTAACATCGTCTCTCATTTCCTATAGTAACCACTTTTATTCATTTAATAAGCATCTTTAAATGTTTATTAGTGCAGAGGGAAACACAAATATACATTCTTCTCATTTTCTTTCTTTCATTCCCCAGAGCTATTAGTTGTTGCACAGCGTAATGAACATTTTCCCCTCCTAACAATGTATCCTGGGATCTGTTCCTGTCTCCTGACTGTGTGTGCATGTGTGTGTATTCTTTTGAGTCACTAGTAACTATTTATATATTTGTGAAATTAGACCTAGTTTGTGATATGAATTTCAACTGGTTTTACCAATTCATCCTTTATCTTTTGACTTTGTGTATCATGTGTTTTGACATATAAACGTTTTTAATTTCTGTATAGTCCAAATTTCCAATCTTTTGTGGCTTCAGTAGATTGAATCATTGTAAAAACTTGTGTTCCTTTACCCACATAATTTATTAAAAAAAAAAAATGTCTTCGGGGCTGGCCCGGTGGTGTAGTGGTTAAGTTCATGCACACTACTCAGTGGCCTGGGATTCATGGGTTTGGACCCTGGGCATGGACCTGTGCACTGCTCATGAAGCCATGCTGTGGCAGTGTCCCACACGCAAAAAATTAGAGGAAGATTGGCACAGATGTTAGGTCAGAAACAATCTTTGTCAAGCAAAAAAGAGGAAGATTGGCTACCTATGTTAGCTCAGGACCAGTCTTCCTCACACACACACACACACACACACACACACACACACAAAATCTCTTGTTTTCTTCTAGTACTATTGTGGCTTTGTTTTTACATTGAAATATTTGATCCACGTAGAGTTTCACTAGTATGAGGAAGGAGCCAGCCATGATCTTCCTCCAGATTGCTATCCATTTGCCCAATACAATTTATTAAAATGCTCATCCTCTCTCCAAATGATTTGTAGGGCCCTTTTTCCTACATTAAATTGCCCTCTGCATCACTCCTTCTCTATTTTCTTTCATTGGTCTGGTGTATTCTAATGCCCATCGTACAGTGTTTCCATTCTCATGGTTCATTGTATGCTTGAAAAACTGATGGGACGAGTCCTCACTCAGAGTTTTTCATTTTAAAAGTTTTCTGCACTATTGTTGCTCATTTATTTTTCCCATCCTTCTGGTTTCAGGAAAATAAGTTTTCTTATATTTTCACTGGGTTCATGCTAGATTCATATATGGGTAGTCTTGAAACATTTATGAGAGTGAATTTTCCTACCCAAGAATCTTGTCTATCTTTCTAATTCTTCCTTTCTGCTCTTGGACACTTCAGGAGTGTGCTGATGTACTCGTACAGGTTTTTAAAATTTTGCTATAATTTTATTCTTAGGAGTTTGTATTTTCACTTGCCATTATAAATGGGGTCTCCTGTTCTAATTTATCTTCTAACTTCACATTATTTTTGCATATTAAGGATATTAATTTCTCTATATTTGTTATACAATTATACATCTCACTAATTTACTGAATTCTCAATTGCTTCTTAATTGAGTTCCCAGTAATATAGTTACTCCATCTGTTTTCTTTGCTTCCTCCTTTTGAAATTTTCCTGCCCCTATTTTCATTTTCCTCTTGTCTAATTGCATTGGCTAACATCTCCATTGAGACAATCCTTGGGGGATGGGGGAATAGCCGACCATACTTGTCTTATTCCTGAATTTATCAGGACTCCAATGTTTTTCACACTTATGAGGTTGGTTTGGGATGACATATCCCCAGACAGCTCCATTTGGAAGTGAGATTGATGGCATGACCTGTGAGCACACAGAAACTCTGAAAATGTAAGTGTGTCTTGGAAGGAGAGTCCAGACACCAGTCGGGTCTGCTGGGTGCCAGGATGAGGTGCTTCCTGCGGGGCAGACTCAGCAGCCGCAGTGTCTTGGTGCAGGGGCAGTCTTGAGGAGCTCTGCCATTCCCTCAGCCACATTTTTCATTTAACAGTGGAGAATCTCCTTTTCCCATCCCAAGTATGACAGTGGAATAAGAACTGATCTAGCTCATGAGAGCAGCTCACATTTCAGGGGTGGTACTCTGTGAACCATTCTGGTTCAATCAATGCCTAGCAAGTAGGTCACAATCCACAAGGGGTGACTGCCCTGGATCTGTAGGACTAAGCTGTCAGCAGATGAAGGAGGGGCCAGGCAGGTCTCCAAGTGGAGAGGATGCGCTTGTCTGTTTCCTGCCATGTCCTCAAGGCTAGACCTCAGGAACGCATACTGTTGTTTGCCGATCACGGGCCTGGAAGAAGACGTTTGCATGTTTGGGGCCTGCTAAGGTACTTTGCTGTTTAGAAGCGTGTAAAAAGTATGAGAATTTCTACTGACTTGTTTAAATAACTACAGCATAACACTAGGCATGAGATAAATTGACTCCAATAATCAAAGTTAACCAACTAGTTTTCACACCTTCTTTTTAAAAGTAGGAGATAGTAGGGTCACAACTCTCTGCCTGGCCTTGTTACCAAAGACAACTGCATTCCTAAAAAGGTTCCCGTTGGGGAGGGCTCATGGATATTTTCCTGTGTAAGGGCCAAATCCATTTCAGTCACAAGATCAATAAAAGAGGATAGAATGTGAGATACAATGACTTCTGTATGGTGGCTGTGGCACCGATATATTGTATTCCATTTGATATTTGAATTAGATCTCAAACACCAATTTAAATACTCTCTTATAAATCATATTAACTTATTGGGGAACTTCAATATTTTCCTGGCACAGAAGAAGAAAAGCGAGCTGCTAATCCTATGAAGGCAACCTAGTGTGTGGCTATTATGTGACAAGACTGAAAGGATGAAGCTGTCAGATTGAGGTTCTCATAACAGAGAGACTGTGTGTGGGCAGCATTGGCTGTGAATAGCACAAATCCATTTTGTTTGGTGGAATTTCTTGTTAATCTTGAGGAACCACTTAACTTTGTAATTTGCCAAACGGGTTTTAAAGGAGAAACGGATAAGACAGATTCTTTTAATTTTGTCATTATACTGCTGATTAAATTCTCTCCCCTTGAAATTCAAACCTGTTCTATGTTTACAATACATTTTGGAGAGAGAAACTCCATTGGCTGAGGTTTGGCATGTCCATTTGTCAGTGTCATGTGCTGTATGCTCAATCAATTCAAATACGGACTCCTTGTCTCCGGGACTGTAACACAGCATGTTCAGTACATGTGCAATTCAGTGGTAAAACCACCACAGAGATTTTCTTTGGTTCCTAGTGTCCAACTTGAAATGACGTCATGACTTAATAACTGCAAATGCCCCCTCTTCTATGCCTTCCAATAAAAATGGATCATCTCTTCAGTTCAAGGCTTCTCAGAATTGGTGTTCCCATGATCCTGTATTGGTGATGCCCATAAATTCATTTATGTTGCCTTTGGAAATCCACATAGGGTGTGAGGTCTCTCCAGAGAGCTCTGATGTGATAAAGAATCTGAAGGGAAGACACCCTGGGGTTTTTTGTTCTTCTCCTTGAGGGGACCCATGCTGATCTCTGTTCCATTGGGAAGGGCTCCATACAACAGATGGGTCAGCACAAATTATAGGTGATGCCATAGAAGTTCCCTATAATTTAGGTACAGAAAGAACTCATGCCTAAGATTCCTGAGTGTTTACCTCGATGTTGTCTTTTGACCTGGATCCTGGAGATGTTGACATCCAAAGTTGATAGTTAGCCAAGGCAGCCACAGTTGCTCTGTCTGCTGAGAGATTCACCATTTCTCACGGCAATAGTATCTTTTGGAATTTTGTTAATTCACTTGCAACCCCTAAGTAAGTTGTGAATTTGGGGTGCTCATATTCCAAAACCAATTTGTTAGAACTGGACATGTTGACTCTGAATAGCCTTTGCAATTGCCACATGGGAGGAGCAAGATACTGACACATTACCTTCCAATTCATTGGGCAAATACTCTAACAATTTTTCCTGTCACAAACTTACTCCATTATAAACTGTTCCAGTTTTAGGATTTGGCAAATCTTTGAGCTATTTAAGGAACTAGATTTTTTGTTACTGTTCTTTTTGGGTATCAGTGAGAAGATAGTGCTCTCATAGTTACACATATCTGATACAGGTTTAGATATATACACGAAAACTCTCTCTTTTAAAATGTTCCTATCCTCTTTTTTTTTTTTTTTATAGTTTTCTGTGGGTGAGATCATCTCCTACATATTGATTGGACCAGAGAATGTTTACGGTGAGAGAAATATGTAACTCGCTGCAAATCATGAATCTAATATGTGGCACAGTTAGGATTTGAATCCAATTTTTTTTTTCTTTTTACCACAAACATCATTTCCATACCAAAAATAGAACACATTTTAGAGAATAATGGGGAAATATGATACAAGAACAATAATGAGACCAAGTTGTGGAGGACTCTTAGAACAAGGAAGTGAATATAGAGCTGCATCTGTGAGTAATACGGGGGGTGTGTGTGTGTGTGCACGTGTGTGTGTGTGTACAGAGGAAACGACAGAATAAATTACATCATATGGTGTGTATTGCAGTTGGAAAGGACCAGAGTCAATCAGACTATTTTATAAACTATTGTAATACTCCAAGATTACATTTCTTTTACATGAAATACTGGCCAAATATAAATATTAACTAAATTGGGAGCTAATATCCTGACATAAAAATTGTTTAGAACTGAAAAATTACTGAGACTACATAATAATAATAATTATGATAATAGTAGCTATATAATATTGAGCAACTCTGAGACTTCATGGAAAATTTAGAAACCACAATCTGGTAGGTGGAGACCTTTGACATTTTAACCTGAATAACAGTAGTCAAGGCGTGACTTAAAAAATGTCTCTAATTTCAAGGAGGGATACATTTTGATGTCAATAAGCGATCAGGTATACAATAGGAATTAGTTTATTTTACAGAGGGAATTAAGAAATTAAAATCTTTAAAAATATTAAAAAATGTATGCTATACTGCAATTTTTGCATTTTTAAATTTTGGAGAAAGTCACTGATTCAGAAACATCAGAGGTCAAGTTTGGTCTCAGCAGCGGTCCCCTAGTGTTGATTTAAGAACCTGGGTTAGACGTGGAAATTTTCACCAGATGATGGAAAAATGAAAAAAACAAGGACATTGAATAGATTTTTGCAGAGATTGTTCAAATGAAGAATCATCTCTTTAAGATTGTGTTCTCTCTACAGTTTTTTTAAAATGATGAAATAAATGGTAACCTTTTTCTGACCATTTGGTTAATGTTTAACATATTTTCCAATATGCAAAACTGGTATCTTCACATTGACTACAACATAATTTGGAGAATTTTAATGTTCCCTCAAGTCCACGAGGGTAGGGAGCACTTTTGTGTGCTTGATGTTGGACATTCTCGTCGTGTGGACCTGAGCAACACTGGCGGAAGTTCACCAGGCACTTTTCTGGGAAGAATGTTTCTAAGGAAGGCAGCCAAGGAGAGAATTTTCCTGGCATGTTCATGTCAGCTACTCTGGAGTCATCTTCCAGGTGGGGATTATTGTTCAGCAGGTGGTCCCTGTTGGAGGTGCATCTCAGGGGGCTCTGGATGGCTGTGAAGTGGAGTCACAGGAAGTCAAACTCTCCCCCTACTGGAGTGTTCTAAACTGAAGCATTGCATCTGTAAATACACTTCACGCCATTCAAACAGAAGAAGGAGCCATTAAAAATCACATCTATATTTTCCAGTCTTATAAAATAAAGTTAGTGTCATAAATTGAGTGAGGAGAGATTTCTGTTTTGTTTTCTTTGTTTTTTTGTTTTTTTACTCACAAGGGATGAACTCAAGTATTTGCCTTGTTTTCTTGATAAATAACTTTGTGTAGCAAATATTGGAGTTTTAAAAATTTACTTCAAAGACTTTCAACTTTCATTCATAGTCAGGATAATCTTGAAAGTGTTCCTTGGAGATTTAAGGCAGGTTGCTAGAGATGTGATGGGGATTATTTTCCATGGTGAGCTATCTAAAAAGGACCTTAGATTGTTAGGTGGTTAATATGAGATTGGAACATGGACTGGTTCTCTTTTGTCATTAAAGAAAAAAAAAGCTTTGTGCAATGGAAGTGACACAAGCTAAGTAATTGTAAGTTGGGGTCACATCTCTCTGAGCAGCTGTAGATTTCCCCGTCTGTAATTCCACTATTTAAAGAGAAGAATTTACCAATTTTGTTGTTTCAAAGAAAAGATTTTTGATCCTGTGAAGTTTTAAAATACCAGTACTCCTCCGGTTTTCAACTAGCGAGAACAGCCTAAAGGAGCGACTTAAATCTCTCCCATAGAAGAGAGTATATATCACAATCTTATCTTTTTTTTTCAGATACAGTCAATGCCATTTTAAAGGAAGATCAAGGGATCAAGGCCAAGTCCAAAAATTTTACAACAAGATGAATAATTTCTTCCATTTAAAATCCTATGTTTCCATAGGTCTAATTTTCTGAAATATAATTTACACCATTACAATAGGAAGAAAATAATTTAAATATCTGCACAAAATGGTATCACCCCATTGGTCTTTTAGCTTTCATTGGGAGCATCAGCTTTTCGTAATAAAGACGCATCAGTGTAAGTTTTCTATCTCTGGATCATTTAATACAAGAAAAATGCAAATGCAAATAAAACCTCCAAAAACCAAAAAGCAAAACTCACGAAGCTCATCCTAGAAGGACTGTCCCAAGTCTGCTGATGCTTGTTTGTATTACTTTACTGAAAGGACATTTACACACATTTGTAACATGCTCTCATGGAACTGAACAGGAGGAAGACACTTCCCCCAGGAGCGGATCCAAGGCTGTTCGCTGTTCCCATTGACGTTGGTGTTCTCCACGCGCAGAAGCAACAGCGAACCCCCGAAAATCAAACCACTGAAGGATGGCGAGTACGGAAACCGCAACTCCACCACATGTAATGATCTTAGTGAAAACCAACCATATTAGAGTGGCTTGACCTTTGGAAATTCAGCCTTTCCCTGATAAATACAGCTGTGGTTTCAGTGGAGCCGTCTCGTATGGCTGTGGAATAGGACACAGTTAGTTAGCTGCTCCCTGACACTCAGGGCCAAACCGTTATATTTTTTTATTCTGCAACTGAATATTAATACCCCACTGCAACAAGAGTTTCATCCATATTCTTTAACACATAAAGTCTGCCATCACCTCTAGTTTATAAAAGTCAAGCCAGTGAAGATCAGAAGAAAGGAAATAAAAAGGTTCATCTGATTTTTTATTAAGGTGTAATTTACATGCTATTAAATTCAAGTCATCTGAATTTTTTTATAAAAGGCTTTATTAAGGTATAATTTACATTCTATTTAAATTAACCCCAATGTACAATTTAATGAGCTTTAGTAAATTTATACCGTCATGCAACCATTACCACAATTCAGTTTTTGAAGATGTCCATCAGCCAAACAGAAGAGGAAGCACATATAAATTTCATATTATGGGAATGTACAATATGAAGTCTTTAGTGCTTGGTTTTTATCACTTAGCACATTATTCTTGAGTTTCGCTGTATAGCTGCATGCTGTCAGTAATTTTTTCCTTTCTATTGATGAGTAGGTGTCTGTATGAGCTATTATTATATTATTTTTACTATATGTATTTTTTATATTATATTTATATTTAACCAATCACGAGTCAACACATGGATTGTTTCCACTGGGAGCTGTTATGAAAAATGCTGCTGTGGACATCACATACAAGTCTTTGTGTGGGGGCTGGCCCTGTGGCTGAGTGGTTATTTCAAGTGTTCCGCTTTGGTGGGCCAGGGTTTCACTGCTTTGGATCCTTGGCACGGACATGGCACTGCTCGTCAAGCCAGGCTGAGGGGGCATCCCACACTGCACAACCAGAGGACCTACAACTAGAATGTACAACCATGTACTGGGGGGCTTGTGGGAGAAGAAGAAGAAAAAGGAGATTGGCACCAGATGTTAGCTCAGGTGCCAATCTTTAAAAAAAGTCTTTGTGTGGACACATCCATACATTTCTCTTGGGTATAGAATCGCTGGTACATATTTGTTTAACTTCTTAATGAACTGTCAAACTTGTTTTCAACTGACCCCATTTGAAATTCTCATCAGCAGTATATGAAGATTCTAGTTTCTCCGCATTATCTCGACAGGTGGTAGTGCCAGTCTGTCTGTCCAAATTTTAACTCCAATAACTTCTTTTTTGTTTTTTTAAGATTTTATTTTTTTTCCTTTTTCTCCCCAAAGGCCCCTGGTACATAGATGTATATTCTTCGTTGTGGGTGCTTCTAGTTGTGGCATGTGGGACACTGCCTCAGCGTGGCTTGATGAGCAGTGCCACATCCGCGCCCAGGATTCAAACCAACAAAACACTGGGCCGCCTGCAGAGGAGCTTGAGAACTTAACCACTCAGCCACAGGGCCAGCCCCCTCCAATAACTTCTAAACAAAAAAGACGGACATTACAAGGTTGTGTTTTGCAATTGTTTCCGTTGCCTGGGGGAACTACGATGTCGAGAGAGTATTTGACTGGAAACCAAATTTTCAGTTGAATAAAGAGAAAAGATGATCGTTTCACTCCTTTCTTTTTAATTGATTTTTCTACATTTTATTTTCCCATTTCTGTCATTGAAACATTATAGCAAACCCAATGAAATGCTAAAGAAGGAAATAAAAGCCTCCATAATCAGCTGCCCTCAAATGAAACTAGCAAGCCACTCCCTGGATCATCCTGCTCCTAGTCTATGCCCGTGTCATGCAAGGATGTTCCAGTTATGACTATAACATAGATCAATTCTAATTTTTACAATGCCTCTTAACTATATTTTATTACTACGGGGTCTTCATATTTTACATTTTTAATGACTGCCTAGTATTTCTCGCTCTAATTTTATTTTAAAATATGTGACATTTTTATGCTCTCAAATATTTACTATACTTCTTTTTGCTGTCTAGCCATAAACTAAGGTATCCATGTGCATTGATATCTCTCTATCTAGTAGAGAGGCTTGTGTTTTGTTTTCTTTCAGATTCATTTTTAAGGATTTATTTTCATCCGTAATGTTAGGCCAAATTATATCAACCGGATTACATTTATTGATTCATGTTGCCCAACTACCTTCTAGATTACCCACCAGCAGAAGCAGTGTCAGCGTCACTGTCAGCTTGGGGAGCAGGCTAATTATTTTTTCTAGCTGAGTTGGTTTACAATAGCAGTTCAGTGTACTAACCTGCAATTATTTCACTGCCTCACTGTTTCTGTCACATTTTATTTAGGATGCTAAGCTGCTCTTCACTTCTACAGTTAGTATTCATTGCAAATGAATTTCATGAATAGTATATGACCCTCTCATGCACTTAATTGCAATTTTAAGACATCACCAGCTAAATATTGCTTGAATGTGAATGATGACTAAAAGCACAATATATATTTTATTTAATTGTTTGAAAAATTTTCAGCACGTTTCAATAAAATTGATACAAAGCTCTAAAGTTCAGGTCTTATTTTTATCTTTTTTCAGATTTATCAGAATCTAGAATCAATGACTCAGATACAGTAGTGAGAGAAAGGGAATCCATTTTCCTACCTGTAACTCAAAACATCTATGTAGGAAGCTACGATTTCTGCCTCTGAAGCTGTCATCTTGACAGCGATAACAACACATGTTTGGTTTTTCCATAAGCCATTGAATTGCTCTTGAGTAATAAAAGCCATTGCCAACACATTTAAATGTTCACAGTCATGCACTGCATAATGCTTCCTTTCTTCTTTTTCAAAACATCTGCTTGGGACTTTAAAACACACACACACACACACACACACACATGCACCCACATCATTTCCCCAGAGCAATAACAAAAGAAAAAAGGTGACTTCAGTGTAAATCATTTTTCCACATAAAAGTTTATTTCTGTAGATTTCCATTTAGTGGTAGAACACAACTGAATTACTGCTACCCTACCTGTAAAAAAAATTTAACTAAGCACATGTATTCATAAACATTTTTTTCTGTATCTCCTTTTGTTTTAAAGCCCCAAATTAAAAACTACAACAACAAATAGGGAAGAGGAGGAATAAAATATATAAGGAGATCCTGCAATGATGCAAAATCGATGGGTGAGTGAGTATAGATCCACACTGCTGAGAGTCATAGCTTCTGATTTCTATCGAGAGGGGTAAACATGTGGGGATCATTTATTTATTCTCAAAGGGAAAAAATGTTTTAAGGCAATTCATCTCCCTTATTTTTGTTACCATCAAAACACAAATTAGAGTTGGGGGATTTCTGACCTTTCCCCAGGTGATGAATCAAAATGACATTGAAAATTCCCATTCTCTATTTTCCACCTTTCCTTGTATCTGTGGGTGGCTTGGGGTCAGATTCCAGCCCATGAGATGGAAACAGAAGTCGGCTAAAGGTGGTGAGGGAGGTAGGGAAATTTTTCTATTTCTTGGTACAAAAGAATATGGCTGGTGTCAGCTTTTTCCTACTTCACACATTGGAACTTTCTTCCTTTAACATGGCTGTGATGACTGGAGCAGTGGCAGACAGTCTGAAGTCATGAGGACAAGGGCAAGCACGTGGAGAGAATCACTCCTCACTTTGATGGGCCAGACAGTGCTCTGCTGCTATTCATAGGGTGTTCATAGCCAGTTTTTTCAGTTGTGGGTGGCCAGGTCCTCCTTCCTAAACTGTCTGAGTCTGGAAGCTCTGCTGAGACCTGTCCACCATGGGTGACCCTGCTGGTATTTGAAAGACCGGTGGCACAGCTTTCAGCAACACCCAGCCACCACAGTGTGACAACTGGCAGTCGGGTTGGTGTGGTTCCCTGACTGGGAGACGAACCCTGGGCTGTGGCAGTGAGAGTGCTGGATCTTAACCACTAGACCACCAGAGCTGGCTATTCCATTATAGAGATGTATCATAATTTATTTAATATCTCCCCTATCAATAGTTCTTTACCCTGTTTCCAATATGTCACTCTCAGGAACAGTGCTGGAGAGTGTACCTTCTTCTACATTCTTTGTAGGACACAAGTGCATATGGTTACGTGATATGTTACTGAAAGTGAAATTACTGAGTCAATGGGATGTTATTTTTCCCCAGCTTTATTGAGGTACGGTTGACATATAATTTGGTGTAAGTTTCAGGTGTACAACCTGTTGATTTGATACATGTGTATACTGCAAAATCATTACCACCACGGCATTAGCTAGCACCTCCATCACGTCACCTAATTGCCATTTCCTTTTTGTGGTGAGAACATTTAAGACCATTTCCCCGACTGCTCTCCTCAGGGTCCCCATGGAATGCCCACCAGAAACGTGTGAGGGTACAATGCTGTACGCCTTCTCCAATACCTTGTATTGTCAAACTCTTCTCACTTTTACCTGGTTGGTAAAAGATAGTATAAAATGGATATTTTAATTTTTTATTTGTTTGGCATGTGTTTTTAAAACTCATTACTCTTGTAGTCTTAGAAAAACAACATTTATTCATCTGCAGAGGCCCTGGTCTACTATTGAGTAGCCACGTGTTGACGAGGAATGCAGGTCTGCCAAAGGGAGTTCTCTCTTTAGATTGGCTGCATCCCAGCACCAGAGGAGGGGTCCCTGACTGCGCTGGTGCTAAGAAAAGGACAGGCAGACACAACACCCATGTCAGCTGTGAAGGATTACACAGCTGGTGGCCAGCATCCCCTCGGGCACCAAATGGTCTGTCTGCCTCACAAAGCCAGGCTAGCTTTCAAAGTTGTCTATCTACCCACGCATAACTAGCCACTTTCAATAAATCTGTAAAAATTTAATAATATCGCTTAGCTCCGTGTTGCCTATCAAATGTTTGATTGCATATAATATTTCTCTGGTACAGAAGAAAGCCAGCTACGGCCTCATCCATTTAGAGTTTCTTGGATTCTGAAGAAAATATTTTAATTTACAGCTCCCTCTGGAACGAACAGCATGCTTCAGTCAGTCCATTCTTGAGAGTCTGCATATCTGACTCCATCTAAGTTCTGTCTTTCTTTCACTGACGGTGGGAAAAACATCAAACTGATGGAGACAGAGAGGAGAAAGGTGGTCCCAGGGCTGGGGGAGGGGAAAATGGCGAATTGCTGTTGGAGGGGTATGAAGTTTTCACTATGTGCGAGGGACGTGTTCGACAGCTCTGCTGTGTCACACATCGCCTGTCGTTAACAACACGGTATTGTGCACTTAAGAATGTGTTAAGAGGGCAGATGTCATGTTGTGTTCTTACTACAAAA